ATGATCTTCACAACCTTCGGAAACCGCAATGCTTGTGCCGATTTTTGTTTCATAAACAACTGTAAACTGCCGGCTTGAACAAGACCGAGCCCCAAACACACTGCAATTTTGCATTGCATTGCATCGCCGGTCCTTCGCTATACGACATCCGACCATCATCAACACCACCTTAACATCATCATCACCCACTTTCGGAGCATCATAATCGTCTTCGGAGTTATGCCATTTTGACCATCGGCAAAGGCGTGTTGGAACACTATCAGCATCAATCTGGCAAACTTGAAGTCAGGAGCTTGGAGATACCCTAATAGGGCTTGTACCCTGATGAACTTCGATCAAGGACACTTTGGCAACCTGACTGGGGAAGGAAGCCATGATACTATGTACAAAGGCAACATTGCGCCTAGCACCATCTTGATGCAGCGATCTTGCCGGCTTCTGTACATGTCAGTTTGCATTGTCTGAACCGGTATGGGCAACGCGACGGTCAACCCGAAACTCAGACTCTAAACCCTAAACTCCCATGGTCTACACTGGTCAACATCTGCAAACATTAAACCTTAAGCCTAAACCCTCTCCTTCAGGGTGAGATTCCCCGCGTAGGTTAGGGCTTCACACGGCTTTCTGGCACTTTGCCCTTAGTCCTTTCGGTTCTTCATGGGTTTAGAGGTTAAGGGGTCTAGGGTTGAGGGTTTAGGGTTGCTGCACTAAACCGAAATGCCAAACCTTGCTCGCATGTCTCATTCAGCAGCCCTCTCACGACGCTTGAGAGTGGTGCGATCCTCAGAACATTCTGCTGGACAGGGACATGGCAGTCAAACTCATGGTGAGAGATGAGGGAAAGAGTTTACTACGATGAAGATGATGATGATGGTGATGATGATGGCGATGGCGATGATGATGGCGATGATGACGATGATGATGATGATGATGACGGCGATGTCAGGGATGCTGCTGACGGCGAAGATGATACCGATGACAACCTGGATCTTAGAACGACCAGAACGATGACTGCAACGACCACAGCCTCAATGACGTTCATACTTCCTCATAATGGCCATGAGGGAAATGATAGCGCCTTCAATGGGAACGATGGTGACGACCCACTGTAGCGATGCCGATGTTGACCAAGATGATGGATGATGACGATGCTGGTAATCATGAGAATGAGAGTAGCACTGACCGTAATGGTGCCAATGACAAGAGTGATGACATCTCCGAGGAAGGTTTAAAAACAAATGAAGCGAGATCAGGATCACCACTACACTCTTTGCGGTGATGATCCCTTCCATGCCAGCTTGGGGGTTCATGGGTAGTTAATGAGTAGGGTTATAAATCCGCTAATATGGGTTATAACCAGAGCGACCCTACTTATAACCCCACTGATAACTACCCCTAAACCCTAAACCCTAAACCTTTAAAGGAACCCTGAAAGGAACCCCTCAACCCCACTTATAACTACCCATGAACCTCCAAGAGGAAGGAGATAACCCTAAACCCTAAAACCTAAACCAAAAAAGTAGACCCTAAACCCTAAACCCTAAATCCTAAACCCTAAACCCTAAACCAATACTGAGAAGGCCGATGGAAGCCCGGAGTCTCAGAGGTGATGCGTGATCTGCCAGTCGGCTGGAGATGAGCACTTGGCAATTGCATTAAGATGGGATTAGGGCTTAGGGTTTAGGGTTTAGGGTTTAGGGTTTAGGGTTTAGGGTTTAGGGGATGATGCTGATATATATATATATATATATCCTGCATTTCCTTTAGGGACCCTAGACTATAGGAATTTCCCTAAACCCCTAAACCCTAAATCCCTAAACCCTAAACCCAAAAACCCTGAACTTGTAGCCGCTGCGTTCAGCGATGTCTGTGGCCACCTTTGGGGAAGCAGGTATCGGGATTCAGATCGATTTCTGCCGAAATCTCCGAGCTCATTGTTGATGCCTTGGGGTTCCCTACACCTACGACCCTAAGCCCTTGAAGGCCCGAAACCCTAAACCTTACACCTCAGAACTCGAAGTCCCGATACATGGTAACCCTCAGCGCACTGAACCGGAAGCCGAAACCCGTCTGTAAGCCTCCTTAGCCTTGAGCTCTTGAAGGGAAACCTTCAGCGTAGTGTAGTGGCCTGAATAATTGAAAAGGGTTTGGGGGTCCGTTGCACCCCAGAGACTCCAACATCCCTTAATTAAGGAATATACCTTCAAGTATAGTAGGATCCCTAATATGATTTAAGGTATATTCCTTAATTAAGGGATATTGGAGTCCCTGGGACGATAATTCGCCTCGGCCCCGGCCGAAGCGGTCAGAGCTTCCTGTTTGGATCCCCGGTGACCCCCACCCCTTCTTCGCAGTGACTGTCATATTTCGTGAGGGTTACAGAGGTCGGGCTGATTTGCGTGGTCCAATTTGCATTGTAGTGACATGAACATTCCGTTTGAGTTTTGCGTTTGTGCGCCTGGAAGGCCTGGAATGCTTGTTTTCGAAGAAGCTGTCGCA